TAAAGATCTGTAAATCCTGAGTTTGAGCGCAAATTCGACGTTCAAAACTCCTACTTTGGGGGTGGATACGTTTTCAGAATTAGTTTTTTTTAAATTATTAAATAACGACAACGAAAAATAAAGTAAAAATTATACAGTAATCTAATTAGATGGTTAGGAACATATTTGTTAAAAGAAATTTGTAAATAAATCAATGCTAAAATCGATTATTTCGTTTTCATTATTATATTGAATTTCTTATTTTCTTTGAATTTATTCGCAGATTTCTTCAAATTCTTTAAATGTCGTCTTTTCAATAATAATTCTAAAAAATCTGCAAAAATCTTTGTTAATAATGAGAAACCAGAATAGTGAGAAAATAGAAACTGATAATTAAACAAGATTACTTATTTTCGATAATAAGATTAATTTTTATTTCTCAACATGTTCCTATACATGACTTCTGTAGAACTTTTTTTACATTTTATGTTGTCGTTATTTAATAATTAAAAAAAACTAATTCTGGAAACGTATCCGCCCCCAAAGTAGGAGTTTTGAACGTCGAATTTGCTCTCAAACCCAGGATTTACAAATCTTAAAAAAGTTTTATATGTCTCAAATGAATCCGGAAGAAGTTTTCCACAACACTGCATACTCAGTTCAACTACCTTACATAGCCGGTCACTCCCTTTAAGTAGTTGGCTAAATTCTCATCGATTTTTTTAATCACCGTAAAGAGTTTGCGTATAAAAGGGGTATACCATAAACAAAAAAGGCTTTATAAAAAATTTGTTTGCTTCAATTCAAATTCGCAAAACTATCCATATGGAAAAAAGCGAGTGTTTTAAAAAACTATATATCTTAATCAGAAAACTCGATAAATTCATTTATAAATGATATAAATATGTAGAAAAGAAAAGCAATGATAGAATCTAATAAAGATTCAATGATTAAAAATAAATTATTAAATATTAATTAAAAGCTAACTGGACATGTAATTAAATCTATCAACTAAATTAATACAATTATGATTATTTGATCATCAAACATGTTTACAGGGTGACCCTGCAATGTTGTTGTTCCTAAACAAATAAAGTTAGCAAAAGTGACCTATAAAGTGTGTTTCATAAATATAGTTTCTACCAATCTTTGTCTTTGGTATTTTTCCTGTCTATCGTGTATTTATTTGTTTTGTGCTTTTTATTTATTATTATTTTGTTTTTTAGATTTTATGCACTGCCTATCCGTTACTGTCTATCCTGTCTATTAATTATGTATTGCCTATCCGTTACTGTCTATCCTGTCTATCAGTTATGTTTTGTCTATCCGTTACTGTCTATCCTGTCTATTAATTATGTATTGCCTATCCGTTACTGTCTATCCTGTCTATTAGTTATGTTTTGCCTATCTGTTACTGTCTATAATGTCTAATAATTACGTATTGCCTATCCGTTACTGTCTATACTGTCTATTAATTATATTTTGTCTATCCGTTACTGTCTATACTGTCTATTAGTTATGTTTTGCCTATCTGTTACTGTCTATAATGTCTAATAATTACGTATTGCCGTTACTGTCTATACTGTCTATTAATTATATTTTGTCTATCCGTTACTGTATATACTGTCTATTAATTATATTTTGTCTATCCGTTACTGTCTATTATTTATTATGTCTCCTACAGAGAACCAAAATGTGGGTGGACGCTCTTTCACAAAAATGTTTCCAGATTTTGCCAATTACTTCGCGATGCCTGCTCATAATTTCAGGGATTATGAAAGCCCTTTAAAAAGGGATTTTCACCGTATCCGCCTGGCTTGTCTTATGCCTATTTACAATATATCTAGTTTCATGTGTTCTTTAAAACTAAAAATAGTAACAAGTGCGCTGTAGCTCTCAAATTTACATGTTAAGGACTTAAAAAAATGACTAGGCGTTGCGACACCTCAAATTCTACCCGGTATTAAAATAATAAATTTGAATATTGTCTGTATCTCAGTGTAAATACCTGCAACGCATTGGCAAGTTGAAAAAAGAACTCCTCCGCTCACGTACTGGTAGCATTGACCATACCTATACAATTATATAACTGTTCCACGTGGATTTAATGGTTCTGTCAATATTCCAGAAAGTTATGACTTTCGATCACAATTTCTCCTATTAAACCTAATTTTTCAGCCTTCTTTCCTAACTACTTATTTGCCGGCATTTACATTTTGAATAAAAAGTATTAAACAAACAAATCCGTAACTTTAAAGATTGTTAAAATATAAACCAAAACGCGTATGATTTCAAATAGAAGAAACTCTGGTTATAGTCCGGGGTGGTTCGGTCCTTATACAAGTTTTGCCAGTTTTTTTGACTGAGTATTACCTTATTTTCATTTTACAAAGTACAAAATATATAAATAATGGGATAAAAGGATAAAAGGATAAATGAATATTATTTTGATTTTTGTTTTTAATCTTTGTGACAGAAACAATCTCAAGAACTGACGAGGGTCAACCCAGACAGAAATATATTTTCAATAAATGTGGAACTAACATCTACTTTTTACTCTGCAGAGGTTTGGTCGATCACCATCACCGAATTTTAAATAAATAAATAGCCATGAAGAAGGCAGGAAGAGTTTTGACTCCATATAATTTTCAAATATAAAAATCAAATATCTGCAGCATTCCATTATTAGTAGGTTTAGAAAAAGACATTTAAAAATGTCTTTGAAGTTTCGGGTTTATCTGTGTCACAAACCTGCCACATGTTCCACTGATGCAGGAGTTGGAATGAACTGAAAACAGAACCTGGATTGGAGTCTTTCTACAGTCTTCACTAATCCTAATTCATTATTATTGTCATTATTATTATTATTATTATTTATTATCATAATTATCTTAACTTTGGAGATGAAATTAACAATGATAAAAGAAGGAAAAAAATTAAAATGGTAAAAATATGAAGTTTGAGAGACTGTAGAGACTGGCAAGCCCAATTCACAACGGTACCTTTTGCATTTTCAACGACGAAAATATTTTTTCAAGTCTACAATTGAGTAACTGCAAATAAAAGTGTTCAACTGTTAACTAGAGATGGGAATTGTTTGGGTAAACGTGAACCTATCTTTTTAAACGCATGACATTTTTCTTGAACGACGGTGTCGTTTGGAAAAAAAAACGAACGATGGACAAACAATTTGGATCGTTCAGAGAAATGAAAAAATTATTGTTTTTTAAAAACAAACCAAAAACAAAAAGAATGTTTTAAAAAGGTTTTCACAATCTTAATCTTTCATGAACGATTTCTAAATAGTTAGTTCAAACAAATTTAAAAACGATCGTTCTTTACTGAGCGAAAAAATTTTTCGATCTAGCTTTTTGAAAAACGATTTTATTGAAGGAACGATTTTATTAAACGATCGTTCAGTGAGAAAACGAAGGAAATAAATGCTAAATAAATAACAATTTTGACAAAAAACGAAATAAAAAACAAAGGAAATGAATCATTCACGAACCATGGACAAACGAAATAAAAAACGAAGGAAATGGTATGTTCACAAACTATGAATAAACGAAATGAAAAAGCCGAACGCACCCATCTCTACTGTAAACTCATGTTCATTAGAAATACTGTACCAACTTATATACTTTAGATCCAAGTTTCAGCGAGAATAAAGGATATCTATGTCAAAAAAAAAAAAATTAGAAATACCTATGTTGAGTCGTTGAATAGCAGTGGGAGGAGAGGGTTAAATAATATTGACCAGCTGCAGGGTACGGGATCATTATCTAGATAGACAGATAGATAGATAGATAGATAGATAGATAGATAGATAGATAGATAGATAGATAGATAGATAGATAGATAGATAGATAGATAGATAGATAGATCGATAGATAGATAGATAGATAGATAGATAGATAGATAGATAGATAGATAGATAGATAGATAGATAGATAGATAGATAGGTAGATAGATAGATCGATAGATAGATAGATGGATAGATAGATAGATAGATAGATAGATAGATAGATAGATAGATAGATAGATAGATAGATAGATAGATAGATAGATAGATAGATACCTGTTCAAAAACAATTCCATTTGCTGCCTGGGTGGAATTCTGTAGAATAATTCTAAAAATATAAATAGTTAATTCTTAAATGATAAATGTTAAACGTTAAATGGTTAACATTAAACAGTAAGAGTTTAATTTTAAAGATAATTGTTAAACATTAAGCGTTAAACATTCACAGATTTTTTAAATTTTATCCCATTTACATTTAATTCATATTTTTATCAAAATGATAGATAATTTCTTGTCATAACAAATTTATTATGTCCTAAGAAAATCCTCTTATATATGTAGATATTCACAACAGTTTGATTTGAGCCAGGTTTGACGTTAGCGCGCTGGTTTTAGGGCTGGGCACGTTTAAACTTTTTCTAGCCGTGCCGTTAATGGTTATTTCCTACCGTTAGCTTTAAAGGTAAGATCTACTGAATGTTTGTTGCGTTAACGGTATTTTCCGTCTTTTTTAGTTACCTTTAGTTAACGAAATCAATTTTAATAACGGCGGTAACGGAAGATATTTTCAATAAACCGTTCTGAAATTGCGCAAAGTGCAAAAAATTAACAGATTTCGGAGGACTAAGATGTTTAAGATGCGAATTAAATATATATTTATGCAATTGTCTTGTGATATAACGCGGGACAATATTCTTGAAGGTCGGGATTTTTACTTTTTTGTTTGTATAAGATTTAAATTCAAGATGTTTAAACTAGACCGTAGTGAGTGATTAAAAATCTTGAATTTTAGCCTAAAACAAACAAAAAAGTAAAAATAACAACAAAAAATATAATTTCCTAAACAACTAGTTGGATATATTAATTTATTCATATTCATCAGACATGCTACAATACTGCTGAAATAAAGTGTAAATTCCCTTTAAGGTAGATCCTCCCAAATAGATTATTAAGTACAATCAAAAATTGACCAAATATACACAACGTCACAAGTGTCAAATAGAACAAGGAAAATGAAATTTACTCACATTACATGACATGTTTTCCAAGATTAAATAAAAAAGTGTAAAAACAGAAAATAAAGAACACATAAAATTGCACTTATTTTACTGTAAGATAAGCATTTTATTTTAAAATCATCACTATTATTAATAATTTTGTGGGACACAAAAACTGAATTGACACTTGTGACGTCTGAATACAGGTGTACTAAGAGTGTTCATATTCTACGTTGCCATCTATTGCACTAGAATCTATTTGGATCCTCCTACCTTCCATTAGCACATGTATATCCTGCAGTAGAAGAATGGTTGTAGGATGGAGTAGTTATATATCCTCGGCTTAAACAACCCATTGTCTCCCGCATTATTCCAGCCTCATTCGTCTAAACAGTTTAGAGGTTAATAGAGTCCAATAAAGGTTAAAAGAGGTTAAATGATTTTCCAGAAATCAAAAAGAGGTTAAAGGAGATTCCAAAGGTTAAAGGATTCCAAAGGTTAAAAGAGATTCCAGAGGTTAAAGGTTTTCAGAGGTTAAAGGATTACAGCGGTTAAAGAACATTCCATAGGTTAAAAGATTCCAGAGATTAAAGGATTCCAGAGGTTAAAGGATTCCAGAGGTACAGGATTCCAGAGGTTAAAAAAAGAGGTTAAAGGATATTTCTGAGGTTAATGGATTCCAGAGGTTAAAGGATTCCAGAGATTAAAAGATTACCAGGGGTTAAAGGATTCCAGAGGTAATACAAATTTCAGAGGTTAAAGGCTTCCATAGGTTAATTGGATTCCAGAGGTTAAAGATTCCAGAGGTTAAAGATTCCAGAGGTTAAAGGATTCCAGAGGTTAATGGATTCCAGAGGTCAGAGGTTAAAGGATTCCAGAGGTTAATTGGATTCCAGAGGTTAAAGGATTCCAGAGGTAAATGGATTCCAGAGGTTAATTGGATTCCACAGGTTAAAGGATTCCAGAGGTTAATTGGATTCCAGAGGTTAATGGATTCCAGAGGTTAATGGATTCCAGAGGTTAATTGGATTCCAGAGGTTAATGGATTCCAGAGGTTAATTGGATTCCAGAGGTTAATGGATTCCAGAGGTTAATGGATTAGGTTAATGGATAAGGTTAAGGAATAATCCTTTATATACATTACTCATCATAAATAATACAGAAGATACTGTTATATTATACAGGGGCTTAGGATGGTATTACTATTAGGTTATATTACATATCTATAGATATTTAGCTTGTATGTATGTATGTATGTATGTATGTATGTAACTATAATTGTTATTTTTTATGAATTCACATAGCCTCAGCGAAGGTTAATGGGTGGTTAGAATTAGAAGACTACAAGAAAGTTTTTTAATTTTTCGAATATTTAAAATTCAACAAAAAACAGGAAATTCTCATAATATATTCCAATTTCTGTTAGTTAACTAAGTAAATATTAAGAGCTAGCTCTACTGCCAGAGTTCCCCAGATATGTATAGCTTATCTGTAGGATACAATTAGTTCTTACCCCATAAGAGTATAAAAGCTAGCTCTACTACAAGAGTTTCTCCGATATCTCTAGTTTATCAATATATTACTTACTCTAGAGAGTATAAGAGCTAGCTCTACTACTAGAGTTCCCCTGATATCTCTAGTTTATCAATATATTACTTACTCTAGAGAGTATAAGATATAGCTCTACTGCTAGAGTACCCCGATATCTCTAGTTTATCAATATATTACTTACCCTAGAGAGTATAAGAGCTAGCTCTACTACTAGAGTTCCCCTGATATCTCTAGTTTATCAATATATTACCTTAGAGAGTATAAGAGATAACTCTACTGCTAGAGTTCCCCCGATATCTCCAGTTTATCAATATATTACTGACCTTAGAGAGTATAAGAGATAACTCTACTGCTAGAGTTCCCCCATATCTCTAGTTTATCAATATATTACTTACCCTAGAGAGTATAAGAGCTAGCTCTACTACTAGAGTACCCCGATATCTCTAGTTTATCATTATATTACTTACCCTAGAGAGTATGAGAGCTAGCTCTACTGCTAGAGTTCCCCCGATATCTCCCTCTCCGATGGAGAAACTAAGAACTGTGTTTTCTCCTGGTTTTAAGCTCAGCATCTCTGGTCCAGTACTATTCCCTAGAGAGACAGTAGATATCTAGTCAGGAGTAGGGAGGAATCAGTCAGATGTAATTCAGTTTAATCCAGTCTGTCTGTTAGTCATGAACTCAACATTTACCCTACCATCTATAAAATTCTAATGCAGTTGATCCTTTACTTTTCATTTAAGCAAACACTTTTTGATGAAATTGACACCTTTGTTTGATTCTTTACAAGTTACTTTGCATCATTCTTTTGGTTCCGATCTTACAAACCAAATTAGTGTTTTATAAATTTTCCGTCGGAGTCAAAAATTTTTAACTTCTCAGAGTTTTTCAATACTCTTCAGAGTCATTCAATACAATAATATTCTAGTGCTAGAGAGTAGGGTTGGGATTTGTTCTAGAGTTTATTGAGTGTCCTAAAAGACAAATCTTGGTGGGACTGTAGAGTAGGTTAGAGTGTAAACTCATGTTCCAAGGCTCTCTATTTTAAGATTTAAAAATATGGATATCTACGTTATCTTCTATATAATAAAACAAAACATTCGTATATTTATATATGTTGCGTATAGCCGGTCAAACGGCTGGACCAACTGGGCTGACATTTTTTGTAGACACTCAGGGGTGGCGGGCGTGTGTTATAGGCTAAATTTTTTTTCCATGGGCAACGCCGGGCCCTTCAGCTAGTTATTGAAAAGACTTGATAAGTAGGTTGAAAGGGTACCGTAGTAAATCGGACGTATTGAGGGTTACTTAAAATTACGTCTACAATCCCTTTAAAAAGTTAATATGTATTAGATAAAAACCTGACTGTTAAATTTAGTACCTGGAAGTGCAAAATCAAAAGAAAAGAATCCCGGACGGTTCCTCCTTCAACCAAATACAGGAAATTAACTTCCGGAATTGTGGAAATGGAAATATCTGGTTAAACATGTTCTTATTTACATGGATCGCCCTCAAAGAATTATCAACGAAAATTTAAAAAAATCATAATTTGAGGGAAGATTTGGTCTTTTGACACAATCTGACAGTTATTGGTATTGAAACTGATTTGTTAAAGTAATATGAACATTTTTTTTGTTTACAGTCAACTCTGATTCTCATTCTTTGCATTGCAGTTATACCCTCTATCATGCAATTGAAAATATTTTTATCCCAACTTCTTTGAATTTTCAAATTATTTTAATCTTTGTATCCCTGTTAAGTTCAATAAATGGTCCACAGATGTCTCCAGCTTGTGCAGAAGATGGCGGGAAAATAAGTTGAAGAGGTCGTCTTCCGGTGTTTCCACAGATGACCCCTGTGTCTATTTTATTGACCAGCATGGGACTAGTTTGCCGGGGAGATGACCGACATCCTGAAAAAATTTAAATTTTTTATTTTTAAACTGCAGAGAGGTCTACTAAATATGACAGTTTATATATTATAAAGATGGCCTTTGATCTCAAGAAAAAATTATATCAAAAAGTTAAACGACTTCAATTTTGCACAATAGTGTGTATCTATGACCTATACTTTTAAAAAAATTATATCTTTTATACAGATTTTGATAACTGCCAAAAATTAGGCTTAGGAATGCCTTTTGATCCGTAAAGCATTTAACCCTATTTACCCTGACGTCTGGTTTCATGCCGGGTTCCCTGGAGGGGGGGGGGGGTCAAATCGAACCCCCCCTCTATTTTCTTATTGTGATACAAATCTATCATTAAATACGTTTTTGTAAAGCCCTTGGGCTCTACTTCAATAATCTGCAAAAAAAATGACAAATTTGCAAAAATCCAAATATTTATTGCGAAATTTAGTTAGAAAGCAAAAATTGTGCAAAAAATTGCGCAAATTACAAAAAAATATACATTTTTGAAAATCCCTTGACCTAGCAAATTTAAATCTGCAAAATTTCAATAGCCTAAATGTGTATTCAAGAAAAACTGAAAATGTGCAAATTTCCTTTAAATGCTTAGCTGTGCAAAAGTCTGTGCAAAATTTCTTTGCAAAAGTTGTGCAATCTGGTTGCTTTTGGTATGGGCTTTCCAAAGAGCTATAAAAAGTTGAAATCCAATGACTGGAAGTAGGTCTAAATATAGATTTAGTCTGGAATAGGTAAAATAAGGTATTTAGGCAGTATGCCCGAGGACTCGGGCATACTGGTATTGGTATCAAATGAATCCTAAAGTTTTGCTCTCTACAATATTGCACTTTCAGCTCAAATATCTTACATGGCCGGTCTCTCCCTTAATTTAACGATGTCTTCCTGTTCCAGAATTTCTCAAAGAGATTAGATAGAAAAGTATAGAGTGGAATTAAGTCAAAAAGGGTTAAACAGCCATTTTGTTGTACTGTTTTCATACTACAGGCTTCACAAATTTGTGCCACATAACCTTTTGGGCACTGGAACATTTTTTTATAGAAAAAAAATGTCTTTAAAATTTCTGATTTTCTCTTAATCAATTACTGGCAACCTGTCATGCATTCCTGAGTTCATTTCAGCATAAGCTTTTAAACAGATAAAATTGTAATGGATATGTCCAGGAAGCATACTGCATCATTGTGATGTATTTAGTATAATTGGTGGTCATTTTTATGAATTGTACACTTTGAACTCCCTTTCAGGCTCAAAGGGATTTAACAAATTTCGATCAATATGTCTTTTTTTCCCTTCTATTCTAATCACTCTTCTGTGGTCCTTCTATAGGATGGTTAAATTTGGCACTTGCCAAACATTAACCAAGCAAAATATGTGTTTAACTTACCTTTTAGATGTACAGCGATAGCGAACTCGACTGGAGAGTCCTCTAGCGTTGTAACAGAGAGATAATGCCACGTGCCTGGTTTAGTAATTAGCTGAACAGAGCAGTCAGCGGTTGCAGACTCAGAGCAGTTAACCGCCTAGTTAAAGGAAAGAACTGTAATTTCAAATGATCCTCCATTTAAAGAGTTACGTGTTAAAATTCATAATTTTCAATTGCAGTTTTTCAACAAAAGGGATTTCAGATTTTTGCAGCAGTGACGAGGAAGGAAATTGACTGGACACATCTCTTTTCAAAAATAACAAACGATAATGTCTTCTCTATAATTATTCATTATTAATTAAGAAGACTGATGTGAATCCGACATGAGACACTCAAATTAAGGAGACTGATGTGAATCCGACATGAGACACTCAAATTAAGGAGACTGATGTGAATCCGACATGAGACACTCAAATTAAAGAGACTGATGTGAATCCGACATGAGACCCTCAAATTAAAGAGACTGATGTGAATCCGACATGAGACACTCAAATTAAAGAGACTGATGTGAATCCGACATGAGACACTCAAATTAAAGAGACTGATGTGAATCCGACATGAGACACTCAAATTAAAGAGACTGATGTGAATCCGACATGAGACACTCAAATTAA